TGAAATAAAACTTTACTGTTATGTTTGCAGTGCTATTGTTTATTTTTCTCTTCCTAAAATATCAGTTGAATGGATTATTGAATCATACCGAGATTGCTAGTAGATTTTGTTTTTCTTTCCATATTTCAATTATGTATTTTCATATAGCAAATAGCAAAATTTTGCTTTCATAGCAAGCAAATTTTTATGAAGCAAAATATTATTGTATGCAAACATACAAAAATACAAACTTAAAAATTATTTCATAATTCAAGCATAGTAATAATAATTCATGCTATTTATGTTGATATAGAGAGCTCAGGCGCAATATTTTCATAAAATGTCACACACATAGGGAAACGAAAGATGGACACTTTCTATTTTAAAATTCAATTGTTTGCCATCTTGAGAAATAACAGGCGCCATAAAATGGTTAAATGTCAATTTATTTTTATTACTTTTTTTTTTTTAATTTTAAATTTTAAATACCTTTACATACCTGTGTACGTAATTGTTGTTATTATAACTTGGTAACGCGGGTAGTTATTAAAATAAAAATTACTTGCTTGCTGTTAATAAATGAAAGAATAGGCAAGTTTAAGTACATTTTGAAATTGAAAGTTTTACGATCCAAATATGAATTTTAATATTTTGATTTTATAAAATATATGGTGACTTTGGAATTATATGATAACCTTTTATATTTGAAGTGAGAGTAAAGTTATTAAAATATATATATTTAAGTATGTATGTTCAATAAAGGAAAAACATTTATGAATTTTGCAGCGAAAAATAATTGCAATAAAATGATGTAAGAGTAAAATTAAAAGTGAAATTTTTTTAAAATTTTTCTTTAAATTTAAAATTAAAATACATTTTGTCCGTTTCAAATTCAAATACATTTTGTGTACAAAAATTGTTCACGTATGTGTGTGCATTTCTAAACTTTTTTTGTGATAATAACTAATTTATTATGTGTTCACACTCAATTTTATTTAGTTAAAAACCAATAATTTATTTTAGAAACAGCTTAAGTATAGCAATTGGAATTAATTTTAAAATAATTTGGTTAAATAAGAAATAGAATATTTTCATAACCTCTTTCATAAAACACGAACTTTATCATTGTGAACTTCGTATATTTAACGAAGCATATTCTGGATGACTCATTTTGAGCCATTGATTGAGCGCCTTCTATTGAATATAAAACTTTGTTCTTATTTTTTGACAGAAATAATTTCTGATAATATGTAAAGCTCTTTAAACATTATATTTTTAGAAGGTAATTGATTCTTGTCGGCTACTTGGGAACTCATCTCACTTCATATGCAACAGTTTTACCTATAAACAAATTTGTAAAATCAATTGTGATAATTTTTGGTCTAAGAGTTTCAACAATCGACGTAAATATTTTCAATCTCACAGCGCACAATATAATGCTATAAATGTCGACAGGTTAATGTCGTGTGAGTAGCGCGTTTAACAATCAAACATTTTCTTAAGCTCTTTCAAACTACAAGGGTACCTTTCGTATATAATATACATTTATTTTCATTTCTTTGGAAAACAATATATATATATTAGTTATCTTAAGTTATTTTATGCATAATTAAATTCAATTATTTTATTAACAATACTTATATTATTTTTTATGCAATAAAAATAATTAAATATTTAAATATTTCTATATTTAATAAATGTATGCTTATTTGAGATTAAAAAATGATTGCATTAACAAGGTGTTGAAATAAAAATTAGCAAATTTACGACTATCTACAAATAGTGTAGGTACACATGTATAAATATATGTATACATATATTTATAATTTATTTATATATATGTGAATATTTATTAATTTAATTCATTGTATAATAAAAATATTTATGATAATTATTTTGAATTATGAATGTCCTCGTCATCACGTTTGTGTTTCCTTCAACAAAAGATCATTAACACAAATTTATAAACAATTCAAAAAGAAAGGAATAAATATTTTTTTTTAATAATTTAATAATTTTCAACAAAACCTCAGACTTTTTATGTTAATTTTCTAGAATAATAAATGCACATTCATAAGTATACAATGATCACATATTGAACAAAAAAAATTGCATATTTACAAGTACGGTAATTATTAAAAAAAAAATCCATAATACTCGTCGTATATTAAAAAAAATATGAATAATTTAAAAAAATTAAATAAAATTAACAAACAAATCACGAATTGCGATTACAATTTAAACAAAAGCCATTACAAGTTAAACATACTTAAGCATCATACAAAAAAATGTAAAATATTTTAAATAATGTCATATGCTAAGTGTGTCGCACTAATCGTAAAAAAAAAAAATTTAATTATACAAAAAAGCTCTATAAATTCTTCTATTATTTTTTAATTTTTTTTGCAAAAATTATTATTTTGTCTACTGATATGCACGTTAACCTGCTGAATTCAGGTTAAAACGCAAATACAAAAAATTTAATTACAATAATACTAAAAATAATTTATTTAACCTTTTCTTTTCAAATTAAGAAAACAAATTAATTTTCATATAAGTACATACATATTTTCCAAAAAAAATATATTCACGAGAGCAAGTTCATCTTGAAAAATTGATAATTTCGATTACAAGAAGAAAAAGGGATCTAGAGTATTTAAACTAAAATTCGTGTTCACGCGATAGAAAACAAAAGAACTGAAAGGGTTAATAATAAAAAAAATATATGATTAGCTTTTTTAACAAAAAATGGAAATTTGCTATCAAAATCTTAAAAATAGTATAGTTTCAAACATTTATTCCGGTAAACCATCTACCAAACTTCACATTCTTATATAGAAAATAAGTAGCGCTTAGTAAATTTATAGATTAATTTTTACTCGTCTAACAGAATTTTCCCTGCTGCTCCAAATGAAATATCGTTGCTATTTATTGCTTCTTATTTACATAAAATTTCATTTAATTTACTTAAAATTTACTCTATAAATGTTGCGTAATATTTTCGATCAAAAAACTCTTCTAACCTTGACATTGAAAAATTTCGAAAATTCAAATTATCATATAAATTAAGTACACATCTGAAGTATTTAACATTACTATAAATATTGATAAATAAACAAAATTTTATAAAGTTAAAAATTTAAATAAAAATAACTTTAATTTTTTGTAAATGAATTGCGTCAATAAAATTAATTGCATATACCCTTATAATTTAACCTTTATGAAAAAGTTAACCCTTTCAGATTTTTTTTTAAATCTACTCTAGAATATAAAATTTATAGTATCTAGTACTTATATAAAATTTGTGTGTATAAAGTGCGAAGATTAACAATAATGGAAAGTTTTATAATATTTCTTAACCGGTCGGAGGAGGATATGCAAAATTTTATATTTATATATTTACATATAACACTAATTGTGGTGCTTTTATTGGTATTTACCCGGAGTAAATATAACGTTGGTATCTATGAATATCGTGTTAAATATAGGAGAACCACTAATTATAGTTTGAATCTGCTATTCTCATCTATTTCTTTATAGAAACTGAAGTATAGTTAGGAGAGCTGTTTACACTTGGAAAATTATTTAAAATGTTATAAGTACTTAATATGCATAACCTTAAACAGAATATTCTGTTTTGCTAATTAAGTACACGACTATTCTGCTGTGCTAATTAGCAAAATTCTTCGATTTTCAAAGAAATCAAGAAAAACATTATTTTTCATAACTAGTCATATAATTTGTAAATCTATTAAAATTTCCATTATTTCATAGGGGTGGGTCGGTTATCATCATCGTTCTTTCCCCTTTCAAATGTATAATAATAGCAGAAAAATTATTTCATTTATCTATATGAAATAAATATGTATATTCATTTACACCTATATAATTACATACATTATTTATTAACATTAACCTTGACTGTTAAGATTATATTAATGTAACAAATTCATGTTATGGTGTGTAGGTGTAAAATTTCTATATGTATACGTACATGCAAATTTAATATAAAAATGTTAACGAAAATATTAATTTATTAAATAATTAATGAATAGTTATTAAATTTAACCTTTATTTATTTAATAAGAGTCTTAGTGTATATATAAATATAACTTTTATAATCATGAATTATTTACTCATATTAATGAATTATTTATTTATGGTATAAAATTTTAATTGATTTGCAAATTATAATCCACTACATAAATTAGTAATTAAATATTTCATCGTTACTTTCGAGCATGAAATACATGCATTTTGAAAAAAAAATAATAATTTTTATTACTTTAATGCAACAATTACAAGTAGATGGCGGTAGATGCGCGTGGTTGGGATTTTCAATATAAATAAGTGATCCGAGATTTTTATTGAAAAACGATTAAACTTCTCTTAATTATTCTGTTCTCTTAACAAACATGTTTTGGAGAGTTAAATTATCATTTTAGAGATTAGATTTTAGAGAGCTTATGTAACCAATATTGTATAATTGTATAAGTAATACTGGTTAATTTCTAGTTCTTACGCTTAAAATCTTCCAATCTGCTACACAAGTACTATGAATGAAAAGTTAATATCTACAAGAATCGTTTTATACAAGAATAACAATGTTATGCTATCTGTTGGAATATATGTATGAAACTGCTCCTATAAATTACTGCTTTATATGGGTTAATGTAATTATTTTAAGAGTGTATCGTTATTCTTTAAAAGTATTGTCCTAAAACTGTCCTTTGATTCCGACAGTAGTGGCGATTTTTGTAAAATAAAATAAAAGAACTGAAATGTTTTCACTCTTACAACGTCCCAATTGTGAAATAGAGTTTGAATCATAGTCTAATAGCAATTTTCAATTTATTATACACACTTTGATGTTTGTAATTTTTGTTCTGTAATTTAAAAGTTATTCTCGCTACAAGTTTTCATATTTATTATTTAAAATCTAATTATTTTTAAACTCATTTTATATGATAATTTTATAACTATAATTTATTTTTAATGGTTTTACTAATTTTATTTTTTTCTTACATTTTTTCTTTTAATTTTAGGAGCATTTTTACAAAAATTCAAAAAAAAGATAACACTAAAATTCTCTGCATAAAATACACATGGTAATTTGGTGAACATACGGAAGAGTAAACAGTCGTTATTTTACAATCACTGCGCACATAATTACAACTTTATACATCGGCACTATCGTTAATTTATTTTTGTTCTTTTTGTTTTGCTAAAACAATCTCTACTTATTTAAATTCTTTAAAAATCGCATTAATTTTTTGTTTGTTAAACATTTCTCTTCTTTGATCTACGGTCACTTGAACTTTCTCCATAGAAGTCAAATGTTTAATGAATAGATGACATTGCTGTATATTTGTATGAAGGAAGAGTTATAGCCAAAAAATAAAAAAAGAAAAAAAATACACAAAAAACAAGTTAAAAGTTACGGAAATACAATAAAGAAAAAATTTACATAATTTGAAGAAAACTACTTAGAAAACTACTTTCTATTAAAGCATAACATTTGTTCTGGATACAAGCAAGTTTAAAGGAACACAGTGTACATATAGGTGAAATTAATTTCAATAAGAGTGTATAAGAAGAAGAAGAAAAAACAAAAACTTTGAAAAAATCATGTCGACTTTGATGTTTTGGAATAAGCAAAACGGGGCTAATAACCAAAATAATACCGAAGGTAAAAATGGTAAACGTAATTGGTTACATGCTCCAGATGTTCTTCTAAACGGTCATGTCGTTTATCTAGTCAAAGTAAGTATAATTTTCGGATTTCGGATACGAAAAAATTCCGCAATTTAATTTAAATATTTTATTTAGTATAGTATAATTTTTGAGAATATAATAACGTATATATATACTGCATACTTACCATACGAATTTTGTAAGAGCTCCAAAATACTTTTAGGGCGTAGGTAGAAATGCAATTTTTTTTTTTGCAGTTACTGTTTGATTGTAAAATCGTTGCGTAGTTAAAATCAGGTGCCATTTGTAAAAAATTACAAACAGTTTTACTGCTTATTTGCATGCGACCATACAGCTGCACGTGGGCGCGCTTGAAAATGAACCTATGGAATACAAATTAGCAATAAAACAGTTGCAAAACTAAAATTGCATGTCTGCAAGAGTCCTCAGGCTTTAATTTTTAATAAATTGCTTCTCATGTCTCTAAATTCTCTTAAATTAGTTCTCAAGAATCTTCAATTTTGAACTGAAATTATAATTGTATTAAAAATAAATTCTGAAATATATGCATATATACATATATGTACACAGAAAAAAATGAATTAGATTTTTCAACTAATCGTAATTAGCTGGTTTCAAATTAGGTGTTTTATATAAACAATTAGAAGTATTGAAAACTTCTTTAGCTGTTTTAAAATTCACTATTAGCTGGCTCAACTATTTGGAATTAGTTGAATGCAATATTAAAAAGATTAGGTGATTTGTCTACTCATTTAGATGTATTATCTAAAATAAATAGTTGAAAAAGTTCAACTAATTTAATTAGATATTTCACCTAAACATTTAGTTATTTTAGAAAAGAAAACAAAAAAATAAGTTTACAGTTTTTATGTAAATTCCTAATCAATGACTACATTTTTAAATATTTTGACTACAACTTTAGTTGATTCAGCTATTTCATTTTATATCAAAAGATTGACTAAAACATTAGCTGAACTACCGAAAACATTAGTTGAGTTATGAAAAGATCAAAATGTTTTACATATTTACAAAAAAAAAACAAAGTACCGCTACATTTCTTCTTCAATAACTACTTTTCTAGATATTTTACCTATAACTTCAGTTAATTCGGCCACATTATTTTACTTAAAGAGGAATTAACTAAAACATTAGTTGAAATATCGGAAACATTAGCTGAATTTAGAAAAACACACTTGTTTTATCAAGAAAAAAATTCAAAGTACCGCTACTTGTTTTGTATTCTAATTTTTAAAGTATTTGAAAAGAAGCTAGTATATGGTGAATATTGGCATAGTAAACAAGCATAGTTTACATTTTCAAGATTTTGTGAAATAAATTTTGGAGGTTCTTTGGTAAGTTTTTATATAATCAAGTTATTTTGTTTAACTAACCAAAAATATTCAATTGTATTTTAGATTGAATTTTGACTTCGAGAAAACATTTTCACTTCACAAAGGAAGAACCAGAAAAACATTAAGCTTTTATCAATTTTATAACAAGATATTCAAAGGTAATTTGAAAAATAAATTTTAACTAATTTTTAAAAGTTCTATAACAATTATTATTTTTGATTTATAGATTGTAAAAATTATACTACGACTATACTATAAATAGAATATAATACTATTTTGAAACCACAAACGATAAAATTTTACATACGTGGCCGAAACAAAAAAGCAATGGCAAACTTCAATTTATTGTAGATGGACAGAAATCTTTTGCATTACTTGTTACGAAACGTGATAAGAAAATTTTTTATTATATAAAGGAGGAATACTAACTTGACAAAAAATTTAACAATACAGAACCTATCATCATTGTTGTTGGCTGTTTAGAAGAACGTTCATGTTTTTACATTAAAAATAATGTGAAATATCTAAAAAAATAAACAACAAAATAAAATTACTCGTAAATGAAGCAAAACTTAATTTTTAATTTATAACATTCTTTTATTTTCAGGGTTAAATCTAAATAAATTTAGAGAAGAGCCTAATTTGTTTAGATACTTTTTCTAATATAATAGGTAAAAACCCTATTATAATTAACTAAAAAATAGTTATATTTTCTATTCTCTAACTAAATAATTAGGTATATTATCTATTGTTGAGAATATTTTTTAACTACTTATTTAGGTGAAATTCCTATTTCTTTAGTTAAATTTCAAAAAGGTTTTAAAATAAATCAACTAAATGATTAGGTGAACCAACTATTTGCTTAGTTGAAATCCACCTAAATTCTTAGGGACTTTAGCTAGTATTGTAGATAAATCAGCTAATTTATTTGGTTAATTTTCCTAAATATTACAAAATAAATTCAGCTAATTTAAATTAGGCAATGCAGCTAAATAGTTTAGGAGGCTGAAAATCAAGCATTTCATTAGGTGATTTATACTATTGTTTTAGCTAAATGTTCTACTCTTTTTTTTCTGTGTATATGTATATGTATATATATGTATACATATGTATGTAAATATATGTATGCACATACATATGCAATAGTGCTTAAAGTTACATCTCCGCTAGATAAATAGCTCTTGTTCTACTCTTGTCGACACCTATTTCGAATTTCAATTCCAAATTAAGCTTAACAGCAAAAAAATCTTCCATTTAAAATAGTCTTTTAAAAGCACTATTGTGAGATTAGAAAAGAGTTTTTGCTCATAATATGTAGATTTCACTCATTCTCTTTTTAATGAGTAATTTTCGTAAGGCGCAATCACAAAAGTAAAAAGAAATTAAGTGCTTTACTTTCGTGAAACAACACCACTCCAATAAAATACCCGTTTTTTGCTTGTCCTGTTTTAGAGAAATATTTAAAATGTGTAAAATACGCAAAATATTTAATTATGTATTAAATTTTTTATTTAAATTTTAAATAATTTAATTTTTCTTTTTTTAGTTTCTTGGTAATACATCTGTTGATCAACCAAAAGGTATTGAAGTTGTTAAAGATGCCATTCGTAGATTACAATTTAATCAACAAATAAAAAAAGCTGAAACCGGTAATGCTGCTAAACTGAAAAAAGTTGAAATAACAATTAGTGTTGATGGTGTTGCAATTCAAGAACCGCGTACAAGAAAAGTATTATTTCAATATCCGTTACATAATATATCATATTGTGCTGATGAGAAAGGTGTTAAGAAATTCTTTAGTTTTATTGCTAAACAAAATGTTCAACAAAATGGTAGTGTTAAAGAAATGAATGGACATGATATAATTAATGGTAAAACAACACCATCAATGAATGGAACAACAACACCAAATCCTGATGAAAAACATGAATGTTTTGTTTTTGTATCAAGTAAATTAGCATCAGATATAACATTAACAATTGGTCAAGCCTTTGATTTGGCATATAGGTAAGCTTTTACATACAAAAATTATTCGAGAATTATGCAGATACATAGATATTTCATGAAAAAACTAAAACTCGAAGAAACAAGCCTGAAAATTTTTAATATTTTCATTTATTTAGATTTTCTTTAATACCTTTTTCTGCCATTTTAAATTTTAATTAATTTGTAATACTATCTAAAATCTTCAATTTAATATTTTCAATTTAATTAGGTTTAAATTTCGATTTCATAGCTCAAAAAAAAAACGTCAATGCTTAGTTATTATGCGCACAGGTGAAAAATTAATTAGCAAATAAATATTAATTTTCAATATTTATATTTTAACACGTCTGGTATTTGCCATTTATTTAAGATATTCTTTAAACAATGAATAATTCATATAACTGTACGAATGTGCATAACTATACGACAAAATTTGAAGTTAAATTTAAACAACTGTTTCTAATAAAAATATTGTGTTAACCAGTTTTAATTACCGAAATCATTTCAGTTGTTTTAGTGTTCAGTTGAAAATATAATTTTGTTAGCGATTATTCATGCATGAAAATAAACAAAAATTTTGTGACAAAAATTATATGTAAGCTTTTCTTAATTTTAGACGATATGTCGAAGAAAATGGAAAAACAACAGAATTAACAAAATTACAACAAGAAAAAAAACATTTAGAAAAAACTATGGCAGCTTATAAAAATCGTTTAAAGGAACTTTCTGAAATTATTCCAAAAACTGAGTTAGAAAAACTTTTGAATCGAATGGGTATTCAAGATCTTTATGAGCTACCACCAGAAGATGTTACAACAGAGGAGAATTTATTAAATGGAAATAAAAATTCAGGTAAGGAAAATAAAAAAAAAACTAATCGAAAAACATGAAAACGCAGGCTGAACTTTAATTTCTTGATTAAAATGTACGAACGCATTGTGTTTTTTGGAGTAAAAAAAACTTGTTTGTAACGAAATGCATGTTTTAGTCCTGAGCTTAATTATCTAAATTTTTGAAATTCACTGCAATTTTAATCAGCCCACAGAACTGAATAAATTTTTCTAAAAAATATAAATAAGCATTTTGAAATTTTTGAATATATTAAACTCTTCACGGCTAATATTTAATCTTTCTTTTTTATTTGTTTCATTTATAGAAAATTCAAATGATGAAAAACTTTTAATTGAAACAAGCAGTAATAAATCATCATTTGCTCCAATAATACCACCAAGAAATTTACAAAATCAAATAAATAATACATTGGAAGCATTAAAACCAAGTGGATTAAAAATGGAAGAATTATTATTGAATACAGATTCAGATTCAGATTTTGATCCAAGAGCTGAAGAATCAGATAATAATGGAAATAAAATTAGTAATGATTTATTTGGATTTGAACCAAAATCATTTGGTCAACAATTGTTCAATAATAATATTAATAATAATTCCAATATTAATAACAACAATAATATTAATAATAGTAATAATAATATTAGTATGAATAATAGTAACAGTAATGGTAATCTTAATGGTAATATCAATGTCATGACAAATGGAAATGGAATTAATTCAGTTAGTCCACCGCCATTATGTAAGTTTTTAATTTTTTTATTGTGAACATTTATAAATAAATTTTGATAATGCATATAAATTAAATTTGGTTTAATTATAAAACTTTTTATATAATTTTAGTGGCACCACCACCAAAAGCTGCAGTACCAAGGCGAACAGCACCCAATACAAATAATACAAATAATACAAATGGTTTTATGAATGGAAATCAAGATTTATTTGGATCAATTCCATTTAATCCCAACACTCCAAGCATATTTGATGTGAGTGCCTAAATTCAATATATGTATATAAAAATGTTAAAATTTTACATGTCACACAAAATTTTCTGTACAATCAAATGTTAAATGTTAGTTTAGTAATTTATTTTGTTAGTAATGTCTCGTTTTCTGTTGCATTTAAATAAAAATTGATTATTTAAAAAAAAAAATAAATAATTGGATTGGTAATGGTAAAATATATAAATTAGCATTTTGTAATTGGCGTTTTCTAATTTTTTTTTTATTTCGTTACTCATTATTTGTATTGTTTTTTTTTAAAGAAACGAAAAAAAATTACCTAACATTAACATTTTTTATCTGTAATTTACTAACCTTTCTCTTGTATTTTATTTTATTGTACTGTAATGTCTAATATCTGTTTTTCATATTTTATTTTTTTTTATTTAATATTTTTATGATTTTATTTCCAATATTTTTTATTTATTTAATATTTCACTACTTTTTTTTTACACTAAAATCTAAATTCAACACACATGTAAAAAATAAAAATCAAAAAAAAAATATATTTAAAAAACCACAACACTTAAAAATAATGATAAAAAAAACATAACTTTCGCACAAAATCTACTTCAATTCATTGCTACAAAATACACTCACGCGAAATAACTTGAAAACTATATGCAGAATGAAATTGGCGGCAATACTTACGAAAACAATAAAAGTACAATTAGTACTAATACAAATGAATTAACACCACCTCTATCCTTAAATTCATATCCGGCATTACAATTGAATAGTACAGTACTAGAAGATTCAAACATAAATGATTCAAATTCATTTGGTGTAACTTTCACATACAGTAGTAGTAATCAAACAACAAATACTACAAATATATCAAATCCATTTATTGAATCTGGTATTTATGAAATGAATGATACAGCAAATCGGAATATACTTGCATCTGAATTAAATGCATTCGCAAATAATTCAAATAAACTTGATAATGCATTAAAAAGTAATCAAAATCTTCAATATTCAAGTTCAGTTAGCGGATCATCATTTCAAAATAGTAATGAACAAACAAATAAATCAACATTATCATCATCATTTAGTTCAATATTAATGCAAGGACGTAGTACTGATAATAGTAACAATAATAATAATAATAACATATCAGGAGGATCTGGATTTTCTATACCATTATCAAATCCATTTACAAAAAAAGCATCTGAAGTATTATTAAGTCCACGCCGTAGCAGTATTATTGCTAGTTCTAATTATGATGCATTAAGAAATTCACCAGATATTGATAGTATGGAAACATGTACAACACCAACATCAATATTTCAAAATAATGCAATGTCAAATCCAATTACTATTAAAAATACAAATTCTAATTATTTGGGTGTCAGTGGATTTAATGCTGGTGTTAACGGTGGTGGTGGTGGTGGTGGTGGTAGTAGTGTAGGTGGTGGTAGTGGTTTTGCAAGTGAAGCTAGTTCTGCTGGACCAAATTCAGCAGCAAGTAGTTTTGATATATTTAAAGATGCCGCAACAAAAGCATTTTCAGAATTAAGTCCATCTGGGCGGACTGGTGCCAGTTTTCCAATGAAATTTAATCAATCAAATCAAAATCAAACAGCACAAATGCAAAATGAATTTTCAAATAAAATGTCCGGATTTAATTTTAATGGATAAACAATTTCTCATATATATTTATTTAATAAATATATACATACATATATTTAAATTTAAAATATTATTAATCAAAATAAAAATAAAGAATAAAGTAAGTTTTGTAATATAAAAAAATAATGTTATTAACCATTTTTAAATAATTTTAAATTTTGTATATAATTCTCTTATTTTCATTATTATCGTAGTTAAAGATTAAAAATGCTTTAATAATTTGATTTTTTTTAAATGCATACTTCTTTTTTTTGTAATTTTATAAAAATTCTTTTTTAAATTTAATTTATAATTTTGTTTTTGGTGGTTTGAAAGAAATTTTGGCACTTGTTTAATTGCACTTTTTATAAAATTATAACTGAAGCATCATATTTGGCAATAAGTCTTAGTAACTAATTTGAAAATAATTTTTCATTACATAAAATATTTTTTTTTCATTTAAATAGTACGGTAACATTTTCATGTAAATAAAACACACAATCCTATTAATAACTTAGATTTTTAGTATAAGCCAAATTTATATTGAAATGTGTCGGAAGATATTTTATAGCTACAATGTTTCAAAGAAAATATTATAGCTTATTATTTTAAAAAAAAGTATGTCCTTCGAGTATAGAGAGTCTAGTTCTAAATTTGCAAATTGTGTATTATATTTGTCATTTGTATTCAACATTTGCTTAATATATAAATTTAAATTTAAAAATCTAAAAGAAAATATTAATAATGATTTCACCGTTATATAAACTAATGTCCAATATTTGATATTCTTATTAAAACTACCTTCAAAATTTAATTTTTCAATTCTTCGGTACCTCTTATTTTATTCTTAAAAATAAAAAATATACTACATATTATTTTGTGTATACAAGCATCCATTTAAAAAACAATTAGTATTCAAACAAATTCATTGACCAATAGAATTGTTCACTTAAATGAAGCCCCCTCATTTTTTTTTAAACACCAATTACAATTATAAAAGAGCCTGTTCAAAATAATCCTAAAATTTTACTTATGAGTTTTTTAAAAAAATTTAAAATTTTGCTTCAATAAAATTAGTTACATTCAAATTGTTTTAGAGATAAACTGTAAATTATTAATTAAATTGCATATATATTGTTAATTTTATATTTTTTTTTAATTTTCAGAGTAATTTTAATACAACAAGTAAACAAATGCTAATTGATGATTTCTCATTAGAAAGTTTGGATCCATTGCGAAAGTAATCAACTCCTAAAATTTCTATATTCACTATACTTTATTCTCTATTGTATTTTTTTTTGTTTACATTTATCAAAAAAAAAAAACTTTATATATTTTATTAAAAACTAAAAAAAAAATAAATAACAATTTTTTTTAAATAGAGTTAAATTTAAAAATAAAGATAGCAATTATTTTGTAATAAAAAAATCTATTCACTACTCATAAAAAAATATTAAAATATAAAATAAAGTTAGAAAAAAAATTATAGTTATTAAAAAGTAAATGATTAGTCATAGAGAGCCACTTTGTTTGAAAAAAAAAAGAAAAAAAATAAAATTTGTAATATAACACAATTATATTTTTAATTGGTTTTCAAAATTTCTGATTATTTAATTTTCAAAACTGTTATACACATTAGTTAATTATTAAAAAAAATCTTATTAAAATTTTTTATATTTTATTTTAAAATATTTTCCTCTTAAAAATTCTTAATTTTTTCAATAATAATTTGATAATTAAAATATACAAAGTATTTTGTTTTTAATAGTATAACATAAAAATAATTCTTATATAATAAACAGATAATAATTATTTATAAAATATTATTATAATAAATTTATGTTTTTTTAAATAAAATATAGCAATTTTGTATAATTCATTTTACAATAGAAATATTTCTTCTTTTTTATTTTAAATATTAAAATTAATATACATATAATAAATATTTAAGTAAATATTATATATTTTCATAATAATAACAACAATAAAAATAATTAAAAGAATAAAATAGAAAAGCTGGTTCTTTTTTGATATGATTTAAATAAAATATTATATAATACACGTGTATATATATTATATAAATTAATAAAATATTTAAGAATAATAAATAGAATGAAAAAAAAATTCAATTTTTTTATAATAATTATTATATACAATTAAAAAGAATTAAACAAAATTAATATATGCTGATACAATAGTATAAATAAAATAATTAATAATTATATTAATGTTTTTTTTGTAAAATAATTATAAAGTTATTCTATTAATAAAAATTAAACAAATAAAATTTTTTGTTATTTTCAATTATTTCTACATTTTTAATACTTTTTATAATTGTATAACAAATTATAATTAATTTACATTTTCTTCTGTACATTCCTCTCTTATTAATTTAAATGAAAAAAATATGGAATAATAATAATAATGTTAATTAATAATTAAATTTTGTTTTAATTTTTTTATTATAATTAATCATTTTAAAATACTGTTATAAATTTATAAAATATAAAGATGAGTTCAAAAATTTAGTTTTTCTGTTGCATATAACACAACATTTAATATCTGACACATTCCGTAAAATTCTTTTAAAAATGCATTAATACTGTATTACAACATATTCATTAACTGAACTGTGTGTTAATACAAAATAATTATGCAATTTTGAAGTCAGAAATTGTCATACAATATAAAATTCAACGTCATATAAGTTGAATTTTCTAATATTAATTGCAATACGGAACTTTATTTTACTCATTACTTTTAAGTTTAAGTTTATTAATATATATGCATGTATATATATATATTACAAACAAAAAAAAATTAATATTATTAAAATTATTATTCTTGTGACATTGTGATTTTACCAGTCTTAAATAAAAAAAACAAAATAAATTTTCCGTAAGATGGCGCTAAAGTGATTATTTTTTTTTTGTTTTTTACTGAAGCTATTAAGATTAAGTAATTTGTTATTAAATATAAATAAAATACAAAAAAATATAAAATTTAAAAAAAAAAAATAAATACCTACATATATAAATTTAAAATTTATATAAATGACATAACTGTAAATTTTTAATACATAAAAGAAAATTAATAAAATTAATTGTGAAAATTAAATTAAATATTTAAAATAATTAAATTACAAATTTAATTATTTAGTTTTAATGACTCAAAACAAGAAATATAATTCTAAAAAATTATTATTTTAAAATTTGTCTAATTTTTTTTTTTCAAAATTATATTTTATATCATAATGTCAATTACATATAAAATAATTTACATAATTTTCATAATTAAATTTTTTTAAAAAAAAGAAACCAAAAGTTTTCTATGTAAAAATTAAAATATATTAAGTAGATGGCGATAAAAATTCAATAGAAGTTAAAACAATTATACTTTGCAGGTATGAGAATTGAACTAAAAATAGAAAATCTAAAAAAATTGTAAGAAAAATCACACATTTTAAATTGAATAGGTTAAACAATCGATAATCTGCTATGTTTCTTTCCGATAATTTGCTATGTTGTATTGGTTTATTAATAATTTAAGAATTAAGAATCGAAGATACCCAAAAAAAATTTAAATTATTTAATATTACGGGAAACATTTAAATTTAAATAAATTTCAACTATTTTTCAAATAAGTTTATATTATTTTTCAACTTGATTTCGTACACAATACGCTGATATCCTCAAATTTTTTCTTTTTTACGGGAAATTTCCTTTTGTATTTGAAAAATTTCATAAATAAATTTTATTATCGACATTCAAAATACCTTTACAAAGCACTTATAATTTTAATTTTAAATCAAATTGTTTTTTTAATCAAATTTATTATATTTTTACTTTTCTCACAGAATATAGAATCTATAATTACTTTAACAATTAAATATACAAAAAGAAAAAACTTAAATATTTTGATATGGATAAATTATAAAGATTAACAGAAAATAATTTGATAACCTACAAAAGAGAAGCAGACGGACATTATGAGTTCAAATATAATGCTAAAAAAGAAATAAAATTTAGAAAATAATTAAAATATTAAAAAAATTTCGCTATAAATTCTTTATAATTTTTGTAAATTTATTATGTTTTCTTTCTCTTTCAATAAATTTCAACTCTTGAATACATACATATTATTAGTATATATAGTTTTACACCCATATATAGGTATATAAAATATTTTTATTAAATTGTTACAATAATATTAAAAATTTTGATAATAACCCTAAAGTTACTATAAAATAACACGTATTTGAAAAATATATAATTTGTATAAAAAGTAGTACGTATGTATGTATGTTTATGTAAAAATAATAATTAATCAAATTTAAGCAGAAAACCATTGGTTCTATTTTGTATGTAATTTGTAGTGTCATTTGTATTTTGTATATTAATTTGATATTTGATTTAATAACATTTTCTATTTTTTAATATAAAAAAAACCAATAAATTTAAAGAAAAAAAAACAAAAAAAAATAAATAAATATAAAAATAATTGATTATTAATTACTACTATATAATTTAAATTTTATTTTTTTCTTTTATAAAAATTTAATAAAGAAAAAAAAAATAAAAAAAAATAAAATTTATAATCATAAATTGTAATTATCTTTTTGTAGTTAGAAAATAAAGTTAGAAAATCAAAAAAAAAAAAATTATATAATTAAAAATCTTGTAAAAAAATTTAAAAAGCGATAACAGATTTATTGTTTAATTATATTTAATAATATTTTAAAAGTATATATTATATATTTACATACATAAAAATATAATATTATATAATATATAAATAATAATATATTAATAAATATTTGTTATAACGAAAATATTAATAATGACTTTCATTTTTATATCTTGAGGTTGATGCTACAATTAGATGACTCAAAAAATTTTATATTTTCAGATAATTAACCTAGATGCCATAAAATCGAATGCTCTTTTATCTGTGACCAATATCTAAGAAAATGATAATACCAAAACTAGCCCTTTCCACTCATTTGTCGCTGTATTTGCGACAAATGAGTGGAAAGGGCTACGGCGACATGATATTTTTAGCCGCCTCGACGCTTTTAACAGTTGCGTAAACAAAATAGTCTGTGTTTATCTTATAGTGTTTATGATACGTTTAGTATGTTTACATTATAATATGCGCTCTATTCAAATTCTATTCGTTACAGTCATAAAGTTATAACCCTTCGTGCAGTGAAGATGGAAGGCGAAAATTTTGACGATAATTGTGAAATAAGTGATGTGGAAGATGATCTCGATTTTGCGTTGCTTGACAACAATTTAAGTGAAACAGAATTCGAAGATCATTTAGAGGCAGATAGTGACGATAGTGACGTAATAGTAGTGAGAAAAAAAAGAAGAATTGCAATTATTGAATTTGATTCAGAGGACGAAGATACACCCTCAGTAGACGGCAATGTATGGAGTAATATTACGGGAAGCGACATTCCTTTACAAAAAATCATATAGCCATAAATAAATGTTTTGTTTCATTGAAACGACTCTATTTTTCTTCTATATCATAAGTATGTATTTGTGCCAGAGTTGCTGGTAGCCCCTATGCGATACTTGACTGGAGTGCAAAGGGCTAGATATCTTCATGATAAATTATTTGTTATTGCTAAATTTTGTATCTTTAAAAATCAATACTTCTAAATTAATAATTGCGAGTTATCCAGTTGTAGCATGAAATCTCACGATATTATATTAATTATTTTTTAAAGAAAATAATAGTTTCTTTTTACAGATTTTTAATATCTTACATTTTTCAATGTGACTATAAAAATATTTTTGTCGTAATTAAAAAAAATCTGAAAATGCTTTAGAACTTGGAGAATGCTACCAATTTCGAACGAGCTTCTTTTTTAAGTAAAGACTTATTGAACATGTACATTTAAAAATTTCGTAATTTTAATTTATTGAGTATACTTTATGTTAAGATCTAAGTTAGATATGAATTTTCTAAAATCTCCTAAATAAACGTAAAGACTACATTTTCCATGACCATATGAACTATTTTGTATCATTGGTCATAATCCTTTGGTTTTGAGTTTTTAATTTTATTTGTCTTACACTATATATATAGGATTACAAGTATATATTCACTCTACAAGAATAAGTTTTATAAAAGTAAATCTATTGTCTTAATAAATATGATTATTGATAAAAAAGTTGTAATACATAATATATGCAATATATACAATCTATTAAAAGCACATCTAATCGACACGAACACATTTTTCAAGATATTTTACAAAACATGTAATATTATCTAATTTAAGCTTTTACAATCTAAGAAAATTCCGTGGTCTGTTTCAAACCTCCAAAGGTGTACCCATTAGGAAGGTGGATCTCAAGCGGGGCATACCCTACAATAGATCCTTATACGCCGACGTTATGCACTCATACCCTATTTGTAAAAATCTACAAAATATACAAAAACAATAAGTTAAGTGATTTATTTCTACTATTTGATATTTACTAATATTCATTAAACTTACGAGTACCATTATTTTAACGAATTTTCCAATTTAATTCACACAATATTTTTAATAATAAGCGAGAAAGAAAATTATAATTTAAGAAATCTATAATTTAGAAATAAATTTTGAAAAAATTTACTTCTTTCTTAATTCAAACATTTATAAAAAATTTAAAACACTAAATTTTATTTCATTTCTTAAACTGAACGTAAAT